TTTAAAAACTTTATTGTACTGGATATAATATTATCAATTGATTTAATGATTTATTTCTTCGTTAGGAAATTAATTATTGTAGAATTTCAGGGACCTCCATATAAAATCAGCAATCACAGATATTTTTTAATTTTATTGATTGTACCAGTTAAAGTTTAAGTATTTATAAGCGATACAGGCGTGCGATAAACGTTATTTTTATGGCAATGACCGACGGTTTATTATTACCTATCAAGAGAAGGTAAATGCCAATCATTTTCTCTTTGGAATGGTGAACTCGATATTTTCGAGGAAGAGGCTATTGTAAGGTGTACTATTTTGTTTTCATCACCGGCAGATTTCAACAATATCGTCAGTATTTCTTTTCAGAACCTTTGGCAACAATTTTGGGTTTGTGTTCCGGTCCACATGAACCGGAAGTGTTCTACGAAAATGCAGACAGAAATTGAGGAAAGTGGGCTGTACATGCGTGCACCTTTCGTTTGAAATACTCCCCCATTGAAGAATGATTTGCCTCTATCATTCAAAAAGTTATTAAGTTGATCATCGAATACATGATATAAGTAGGTTGTTTAAGTTAATTACCTATTAGAAGAAGTTTACCGTCATCAGTACGAATGTAAGCGAATGAGTCTAGCATCGTAACTGATCATCATTTTCATTATTTTCCCTTCGTCGAACTTAATCCGTTTCGGCTTCTTGCAAACCACTTGTTAACTTATAGCTTATTATGGGTTTCTTCCATTTGAAGTTGTTTCTGTAACTTTAAGGTTTATTGCATTGTCGGGAGGTTGGAAAATTCGTGTTACTGCTGTTTTTCTTGGTTATTTGCGTAATAGCATGTTAAACTGATATAGGACTAAGTCTTTTCTTGTAAACCCTGCTAGATTTTCTTAAAACGAGTTTTCTGCCTTACGTATATTCATTTCAGTGGGAGTCTTAGACGGCCTTTGCTCAGTGTCTTATAAAACCTTCAGCTTTTTGGATCAGGTGGCACTGTGACAAGTTTTTTATAATATACAGTAGTTTCGTAGAGTTCGATCACCGATCTGCACTTCGGTACCTTCGTTTTGAAACCATCCTTCGGAAATGTGGTTCTGGGTTGGAGATATGTTGTCAGAATGATTTTGGCTTACTTTATCTTTACTTTATCCTTACCTGAAGGTTTTCAGTAGTGTGAAAGATTTAACCACGAATTATAAATTAGTGTTTATGCATAATCCTTATTTTCAGGGAAGGTTTTCCAGCCTTCGTATTCCTGTTCTTGTTTTCACGGGTTAATAATAAATGGTGGCTGTTTGTTTCGTATTCGAAACTGCTGTACAGGCGTCGACGGCTTGACTGATTAAGCTATTCCTTTGGATTTAACACTGATTTAGTAAGGAAAATAAATCTTTTACTTTACTATC